TCCATGTTGTTTCCTTATTTCTCCATTATCCATATTTTCTATGCAAGCGACTCCATGAAGGTTTTACTAATGAAAGCTCATGAAAGTTACAAGATATGGGCTTGATAGTACATTATTCATCATATATATATATATATATATATATATATATATATATATATATATATATATATATAAATTTATTTTTTATTTTATTTTGATGTGTAATGCTTCAACATTTTGGAAGTTGCAAAGAATGATAAAATGTTGCGAGGTGGCTGTGTGAGCGGCGTCATCAAGGGGAGAGTGTGGGAGTGCATAAGAAAGCGTTGGGGGCTTTTGGGAAAGTGTATAAGCGAGTGGAAGAGGGGTTGGAGAGAGAGAGGAGAGTGAGGCAAAATGAGAAGAACGGAGGGAGAAAGAAGGCGAGCGGGTAAAAGCGAAATAAAGGAGAGTGAGAGAGAGAGAGAGTGAGAAAGGAGAGAGCGTGATTAAGAGTGATAGAGAGAGCGAGGTAAAGTAAGGGAGAACGAGAATGACAGAGAGCATGTGCGAACGAATACATGCTTGAGAGAGAGAGAGCAGGACATGTAGACAGTAGGGAAGTGTAAACATGCCCCCCTTTGCACCACCGAGGTGAAGTGTGTCAACGGCCTCAGAGTCACGAGATTAGGAAAAGGTGTGGGAGAGATATGGGAGAGAGGAGACGAGAGGCCTGCTTGACTCTCGTGCAGAAATACCAGCTATCACTTACCTTGCGAGCCTCGGCTAGGAGTCCCACCTTTGACAGTGTATCAACTTTACGAGGCCGTCTGAAATAAATCCAAGGCACTCAGTATGACTTTATTAGCCGCATAATTGTTCTATCATATTTCCTTACTTAACCGAGTTCTATCACTTGGGCTTCTTTCAAATGAATCAGTCAATTAAGATACCCATAATATCTTATGAACCTTAGAGAAATTCTAATAATCGAACTGGAAATATATATACGAAAAATAAATATAAACACGTAGTAATATTTCCCATGACTTGCGGGAATTTATATATGTTTATATATACATTTATATACAGGTCACACCCCTCAGCAGTATTACTGGAAGACTGACAGGACGAGTGGAAACAAACGACGGTGAGTTATAACTTCTAAACATAAAATGTTAGCAACTTGAGCAGACCGGCCGCTGGGGGATGAAGGTGGTGCATCGAGCCCAGTTCGACCGCCACGGATTTACGAGGCTGCACTTTAACCCCTCGTATCCTGAGGCTCGTTTTACACCAACATGTGAAATTTAAATCTGTTATTCAGCGGATGGGGGAATTGAGGCAAGAAAAAGTGTAAATAGGCAAATGTTTATATATATATATATATATATATATATATATATATATATATATATATATATATATATATATATATATATATATATATATATATATATATATGCAGAAAAATCACAAAGAAATGGGGAAGAGAGATGAACGTTTCGGCCCGTTAAAGCCGTTGTCAACACCAGACTGCACTTTAGTCTGGTGTTGACAACGGCTTTAACAGGCCGAAACGTTCATCTCTCTTCCCCATTTCTTTGTGGTTTTTCTGCATATATATATATATATATATATATATATATATATATATATATATATATATATATATATATATATATATATATATATATATATATATATATATATATATATATATATATATATATATATATAAATATATTAGTTTTCTGGCTCCATTTCAAGCAAATCAATGCGGAAGCAATTCCTTGCATTTCTTTCCCGTCTTCAATACCTTCCCCAATATCTAACGCTTTATTTTCCACTTTTCAATCACTGCACGGTGCCATTCCGGGTCTTCGAATTGCTGTAAACGCCCTCTAGATCAAGCACCTCTCTGCCCAACCCGATACCTTCATTCCTTTCACTCTGGGCCAGATTCATTCTCTATTGGAAGAAATTCTCACTTCCTACGCGAAATTTTTTGGGGTTTCGCTTTAATTGAGTTGAATTCTCTCCAGCTGCTCCGCCTATCACCAGCGACCACTAACCTCATCCACGACCCTCCTACCATTAACTACCTTGACCAACCACCCCCCACCTTCAACGACCAGTCCCCACCAACCACAACTTATAATCACTAATTACCCCACAACACCTATATCCTCACTCACCACCAACCAACCCCACGATCCACCACCACCACTTATCCCCGCCAACCACCACTCATCACCAACTACCCACACCAACCCAAAAAAGAAATTCCTTATTCTGCATACGTCAATCCGCTCCTAAAATGGTCGTCAGTACTCAAAGCAAACAAGGTCGGTTGGTTGATTGATTCGGTATTGGCCTTAAAGGCGTTATACGAGCCTATTCACCAACCAGGAAGTATATTTTAACGCTGAACAGTCAGGGACGTAAGTATACTTTAAGTGAATATACACCGAGAAATGAGGTACACAACTTGGTCTACATCTCTGAATAATATATGTAAATCTGTCTTGTGGTTACCATATTATTTGACACGTGAGCTTCATGTAAGGTCTGGTCTCATGTAACATTCATATGCTCCATATGCTGCTCATACTGCTCATGCTACTCATGCTGCGTATGCTGCATATGCTGCACATACCATTCCGGTAATATGTATGTGGTTTTAAAGCCGGCATTATGTTTATTTCTTGAACCTTATACATTAGTATTTATTTAAGTTGCCTCCCTCTTAGACTTCACAAACGTGTACGCGAGAAACACGTGCGTTTGTGTACAAACACACACACGTGCTTCAGAAAGAGGTAGGGGAAAAAACGAAAATGAAGAGAAGTAAACCAACAAATCTATAAAGAAAATATACGATAATAACACTGCTGTATCCACGCTTGGCAGCTCAGAATATCAACGTAATCAGCATTACAGGACAACAAACCATATTTTGGCTATCGTGAGATATTAACTATTTCGAAGCGAAAGGGGCATGTATACATTTGGCAGATATGTAACGAGGGAGGAGCGAAGGCCAACAATATCACCAGCCCCATCTCCATATATTACAGATATTGTGCCACGTCCGGAAAGTTGTGTAAACGGACCCTACGCTTGTCCCCATATTCCTGTCGCTCTGGGAGACAGGGGGGCAAAATATACCGGAATGAACGGAGGAAGAATACAGGGAATAGCGAAAGGTTGGCAAGCGATGGGTGAGAGTTGTGTGTTGTGAGTGCTGGAATGTGGTGAGTGTGTGTGTGTGTGTGTGTGTGTGTGTGTGTGTGTGTGTGTGTGTGTGTGTGTGTGTGTGTGTGTGTGTGTGTGTGTGTGTGTGTGTGTGTGTGTGTGTGTGTGTGTGTGTGTGTGTGTGTGTGTGTGTGTGTGTGTGTGTGTGTGTGTGTGTGTGTGTGTGTGTGAGGTGAAGCGTTATGAGTGATGAATGTGGTGACTGTAAGGAGTCGTGAGTGTGAGAAGTGTGAATGTGGTGAGTGTGTCACACATATCTTAAGAGGACATTAGAAAGGAGAAGATAGATTAATTAATATTTTGAAAATTTTTTTTTTTTTTGCCTTTGGTGATGCTAATAGCACATTAGAAATACTGAAAATGTAATAAGTAATTAATGGATTATTTAATATAATCTGGATAATCATTGTTAATAATAACAAGAATAATAATAGAACCTATACTTTTATTGATAATCATCATGAAGAATCCAGTCATCTGGTCCATTATGACGATAGGTTTTAATCACTACATATTTGATCGTTGCCTCATCAGTAATTGATAAAGAAGAACTCTCTGGAGAACCTTTTTAGGTCAACCTTTTATATATTATTTATGATGCTGGGAGTGAACCGGGAACCCGCAGACTGAAAGAATATTTTCATAGAGCTACTGTATGATATCTTGTTTATTGGAATTGGTTATATTGACAGAGAACAACACATTAGCATTAAAGTCTTGCAATTGTAGCCTTAGGATTAGAGCAACACACAGTGATCATTGGTGCTGTGTAAGCCAATTACACAGCACCTCAGCACACAAAGTAAATTCTTCTTCTACTGAGTTTGATGGTTCTGTGAATACCTTATTTTGCCATTATTAACAAATTCACAAGGGCCGTGACGAGGATTCGAACCCACGTCCGAGAGCATCCCAGACGCTGCCTTAATCGACTGAGCTACGACACGGAAAAGAAGTGAATGAGCTACGACATGGAAATAAATTCAGTAGAATTTCTGGTTGCAATTCTTTTCCATGTCGTAGTTCAGTCGATTAAGGCAGCGTCTGGGATGCTCTCGGACGTGGGTTCGAATCCTCGTCGCGGCCCTTGTGTATTTTTTCATTTGATGCATCACGCTATTGTGATTTCTATGTATAATGCCATTATTATCCCTTTGTATCTTTAGGTAGCGCACTTTTTTGTTCCATGTTATGAGCCGAGGCCAGGTATTAGTGAGACCAGATTATGCAAGTGAACAGTTGAGCGGCGGCTTAGCGCATGAGATAGCTGGCGAGATCTGATGCTAAACAACACTATTACTTTGTACTTATCTATCATTATTACATTGACAGACTTTATGAGCAACGGTTAGTATATTATACTAATATGAATTATAAATCTTATAATAAAGTAGCTTGCTGTGTGAATTGAACATCATTGTGAATAGGTGAAGTAAATTATCTGATGTGGGGAAGAAATATATATAATATATATATATATATATATATATATATATATATATATATATATATATATATATATATATATATATATATATATATATATATATATATATATATATATATATATATAATATATCGAAAATATGTAGAAACTACGTATTAGAGAATTTCTCTTTGGTACTATGTACTTCATTGAGCGGTGAAGCCGTCATGAAAGAGAGTTTCTCCGCACCTTCCACCCAGGAACAACCTGCTCCAACGTCCTCGTACCACCTCCACCACCTGCAGGATTATACAGCACAACCATCTAGTACTATCATCCATTTTTCCTCCTGCAGGAGTGTATTGTAACGCCACCTGGGACTCTCTTTACTGCTGGCCGGCAACACGAGCCGGCATGAGTGTCAACGAGTCTTGTGCCACAGTCTTCAGTGACGTCCCTGACCTCCTTCACTATCCCGATGGTGAGTTTCGGTCTTTTTCCCATCCACTATCCTGACAGTGAGTCCTCGCTTTAATCTCCTCCATCTGCTGGTGATGGTGTTGGTGTCTGGTGATGGAGCAAGTGGCGATGATGATATTGATAAGGAAGGTAACGACTGCTGCTGCTGCTACTGTTGCTGCGGCTGCTGCTGCTGCTGCTACTGCTGCTGCTACTGCTACTTACATACGTTGAATTACTGCGGGATTTGAAAACCTCTAACTTAGAGATTTTCGTTTCGTGAAAGTAATGATTCATCGACCGCAAATCCCGCTTCAATGCTAATGATTTTCAGCTCCATTACCAATGAAATTCGAGCCTTCTATTGGCCATTGTAGACAAAACGTCGTTGTTGCATTAATACAGAGATATAAGGTTTCCATTTTATTTAAACTTAATTCACATTTATTTGCATATTTTCATAACAATAGTATTAATAATAATAAACATTATGACATACACAATATATCAATGACATATTGTAGTTTCGAGAAAACAGCTAGCCGCGAAAAAGAGCCGTCAAACAATTCACCAAATAATTTAAAATAAAAAAATACAACCTTAGTTGAACCCATTACACTAAGGGAAAACAAAATTTACATGTGTGAATAGTTTGGTTAACAAAGCTAACTCTAGAATTGCGTAACATAGCCTCACGAATGGTAACTAAGCCTTAAGAAGGATAACTAAGTCTCTACCAGACAATCGTCTCATCCTAGACGTCCTCAGCCACTGAGCTGAGAGACATGCTTGTAATCTCATCTTCTACTGTAAAGGAAGGTTATGGAAATGAGGATGCTATAAGTGATCCTCCCCTTTTACGAGGGAAGCCGAGGGAACTGAGGGAAGCTGGACAAAGCTGTTGGCAGACTAAGGAATGATCAAGGCACTGAATGCCAATAAAGCCAAGATAAAAATTAATAATTGAGACAGACGGCTTGATTCGCAGTTAAAGTAAATCTGCCTCACAGATCCCTGCCTATCAAGGGAAGTATAGTGGTATAATGAGTCTACCGTGTTGTATTGTTCCCGATGCACTATACACCGTGGTATGGTCAGAGCATTATAAGAAGTGATTCATATCCATAGCACAATTATTTAGTTTACCATAACTAGTGTGTTGCCACCTAAGCTCCAAGGTTCTTGTGCCATTGTCAGCACCATAACCACTGTACCACAATCAACATACCATTACCAGAGCACCATAACCACTGTACCACAATCAACATACCATTACTAGAGCACCATAACCACTGTACCACAATCAACATACCGTTACTAGAGCACCATAACCACTGTACCACAATCAACATACCATTACTACAGCACCGTAACCACTGTACCACAATCAACATACCATTACTACAGCACCGTAACCACTGTACCACAATCAACTACCATTACTACAGCACCGTAACCACTGTACCACAATCAACATACCATTACTAGAGCACCGTAACCACTGTACCACAATCAACATACCGTTACTAGAGCACCGTAACCACTGTACCACAATCAACTACCATTACCAGAGCACCATAACCACTGTACCACAATCAACATACCATTACTAGAGCACCGTAACCACTGTACCACAATCAACTACCATTACTACAGCATCATAACCACTGTACCACAATAACTACCATTACTAGAGCACCGTAACCACTGTACCATAATCAACATACCGTTACCAGAGCACAACCACCACTGTACCACAATCAACATACCATTACTAGAGCACCGTAACCACTGTACCACAATCAACTACCATTACTACAGCACCGTAACCACTGTACCATAATCAACATACCGTTACCAGAGCACCATAACCACTGTACCACAATCAATATACCACTACTACTACTACTACAGCACCATAAACTGTGTACCATAATGAACATACCACTACTACTACAGCACCATAACCTGTGTACCATAATGAACATACCACTACTACTACAGCAACATAACCTGTGTACCATAATGAACATACCACTACTACTACAGCAACATAACCTGTGTACCATAATCAACATACCACTACTACTACAGCACCATAACCTGTGTACCATAATCAACATACCACTACTACCTGTGTACCATAATGCATACATAACCCATACCTGTACCATAATGAACATACCACTACGACTACAGCACCTTAACCTGTGTACCACAATCAACATACCCACTACAGCACCATAACCACTGTACCACAATCAATACACTACTACTACAGCACCATAACCTGTGTACCATAATCAACATACCCACTACAGCACCATAACCTGTGTACCATAATGAACATACCACTACTACTACAGCACCATAACCTGTGTACCATAATGAACATACCACTACGACTACAGCACCTTAACCTT